AAAGAAAAAGAAAAATACCGGATGGTCTCACTCATAGCAGGAATCTAGAAAACTTAAATAAGGGACCAGGAAAATGAATAACTATAAGAAAGTGAAAATCAAAATCAACAAACAACTATGAACCAGAGACACTTTTTGGGGGGGGGGGTGGGAGGGGAGGGATTGGGGTCAGAATGGGGGGGTTGCAATTGTATGGGGAATATAAAAATAAAATTTATTATAAAAAAAAAAAAATAAAGGAAACCAGGACTAATGGAGTCTAAAGGACTCACACAGGACATACAAAAAAAAAAAAAAGAAAAGAAAACTAAAACTAAGGCAGAATTTCCTAATCCATGATTATTCAGCAAGTAAGTTGACTAAGCAGGGGTACAGAAGCAAGGAAGCAGGATCTGGAGGCAGTGCCCTAAATCTTGGGTCAGCAAACTTTTTTTGGCATGGGTCAGAGAGGAAATATTTTAAGTGTTGTGGGGCCATACTGTCTCTGTCAAACTACTTAGCTCTGCCACTGTAGCATGAAAGCAGCCATAAATGATGAGTGAGCTGAGTTCTGATAAAAAATTTTTTGAATTCTTTTTTTTAAAGATTTATTTATTTATTTATGCATACAAGAGCTGGGGTACAGGCCAGAGATGCGGGGGATGAGAGGATTCATCAGAAACAGAGTGGGGAACAGAACAGGCAGATTGACTGAAATACACTGCTGAGGGGAGCAGCGGGCGAGTCAGAAGAGGTCTGCTGTGCCATGTGGGTAGCTCCCTGGCTGGCCAGGGATCGAACTCATGCTGCAGAGGCTGCAGACAGCTTCATAGTTTGCGTCTTAACCCCTTGCACCACCAGGGAGGCCCAGTTCTGGTAAAATTTTATTTGTAAAAACAGGTGATGGACTAGATGGTCCATGGGTCATAGTTTTTCCACCCCTGCCCCATAGCACCCACAGTCTCCAGTGGCTGGGCGATGTTACTCATTTCCGACTATAGGCACCCTAATTGCTGACTGTTGCCTCAGTGTGGAATTGTGGGTTCAGACTGCAAGGAATCAGTACAGGCTTTGAGACCCTAGATCTCATTAATGAAAACAACAGAAATACCCACCTGGCTGCATGTTCATTACCAAAGCACAACGCCAGAGAAAAGGGTGAAAAAGTGAAAAACACTCAGAATCCCATAAAAGTTGTTTTAACGTTTCAAGCCAGATTTAGAATTTCAGTTCTTTGAGACTTTATGTGAATACAGGAAAAGTAAAGTTCAAAAGCTTTAGTTGACCATGATTCACTTTTATTTTATTTTATTTTTTTTTAATAGAGGCATGTTTTTATTTATTTATTTGTTTGTTTGTTTTTGTTTATACATGCACTGGGTACAGTCAGAACTGCGGGAGGGTGAGAGAATTCACCAGAGCCAGAGCAGGGAGCAGAGCAGGCAGAAGGACCGAAGCACACTGCTGAGGGGAGCAGCGGGCGGCAGGAGAGGTCTGCGCGCCATGTGGGACCCTCCTCCAGTGGCCGGGGAGCAGCCGGGGATCGAACCGGCGCCGCAGAGGCCGCGGGCAGCTTTGCAACCCAGCGCTCAACCGCTGCGTCACCGGGGAGGCTCCCATGATTCACTTTTAAAAGACTTGGCTAGGGGCCTCCCTGGCGGCACTTGGGTTAAAGTCTCACCACTATCAGGCTATCGCCAGCCACTGTAGCATGAGTTTGACTCCTGGCCAAGAAGGTGACACACGTGGTGCATCAGACCTTTCCTGTCTTGCCTGCTGCTCCCCTTAGTAGTGTATTTCAGTAGATCTGCCTGTTCTGCTCCCCACTCTGTCTCTGGTGAGTCCTCTCACTAGAGAGGACTCCCCCAACCTGTGCCTCTGGCCTATACCCCAGTTCTTGTGTGCACAAATAACTAAATATAAATCTTAAAGAAAAAAAAAAAGACTTGGCCAAGAAAAACTTTCCTGCCTGGAGCTTTGCTCTCACTAGCTCTTGCCTTCTTCTTTTTTTTTTTTTTTTTTTTAAGATTTATTTATTTATGCATACAAGAGCTGGGGTACAGGCCAGAGGTGTTGGTGGGGGTGAGAGGATTCACCAGAGACAGAGTGGGGAACAGAACAGGCAGATGTACTGAAATAACACTGCTGAGGGGAGCAGCGGGCGAGTCAGGAGAGGTCTGCTCTGCCATGTGGGTAGCTCCCTGGCTGGCCGGAAATTGAACTCTGTGCTGCAGTGGCTGCGGACAGCTTCATAGGTTGCGTCTTAACACTTGCGCAACCAGGGAAGCCCAGCTCTTGCCTTTTTTTTTTTTTTTTTTTTTTAAGATTTATTTATTTATTTATACAAGCACTGGGTACAGTCAGAAGCACAGGAGGGTGAGAGAATTCACCAGAGCCAGAGTGGGGAACAGAACAGGCAGACTGACGAAATACACTGCTGAGGGGAGCAGCGGACGTGGCAGGAGAGGTCTGTCGTGCTATGTGGGACCCTCACCAGCGGCCAGGGATCAAACTGGTGCTGCAGAGGCTGTGGGCAGCTTCGCAGCCCTGTGCTCAACCGCTGCGCCACCAGGGGAGGCCCCAGCTCTTGCCTTTTTAAGAACAGGAAATCATTCTGCTCAATTCTTATGAGCAGGAAATCATTCTACTTAATTTTTGTTGCTGACAAGGATTTGACCCTGGAGCTTAGAGAGCAAGAATCCATGCAATGCTAAAATTAAGAGTCAGGGTCAACCCAATCACTTCCAGTGATAAGATGAATAAGTGCTGGGGCTCTGATATGCAGTATGGTGACTGTAGTTAATAATGCTGTATGATATACTGAGAAGTTGCTGAAAGGGTAGATCTTAAATGTTCTCACTAAAAAAATGGTAATTATGTGATAAGATGGAGGCTACAGTGGTAATCATTTGTAAGTGTATCAACATTTCAACCCATTATATACCTTAAACTTATATAATGTATGTCAATTAAATCTCAGTAAAACTAGGGAAAGAAAATAAAATTAATGCCTCAAGAGGACTGTGCCAGTGGGTTCTTCACCCCACATAGGGGCCACCACCATCTTGCTCTGCGAAGCCCCCCTCTCCTCTTCAACACTGGTCAGGGTACATTGGGATTATCACAGGGTCAGTGTGCACAGAATACTTTGGGCAGAGAATTTATTTCAGTCCAAGGTGTTTGTGATATATTCCTAAGTATTGGCCTTTTTATACCAACTCCTTCAGTGAAAGAAGGAAAATCTATTTACAACCTGTTGAGGGTCTATGGGAAGTTAAGCTACCAGTTGGACTGGGATAAGGCAGATCCCCCAATTTTTTGCACTGAATTAACCGGGTCAACCCATTGCTTTAGTATCATAGAGATAAGATTTGAGTCCTTTATTCTTAGGAAAGTATTTGGTGGTTGGGAATAAATTGCAGACTGGGGTCCATTAGATGGTTGGCTCACATGGGTTGTATAGCAAGAGGAGAGAGTCCAGCATATTTTCCCTATGAGAGAACATTGCTCCAGGGTCCCCCAGGAAAGCTTGACTGTTTAGAGCATGTGATGACCAGTCACCAAACGATGACCCAAAATACCCATCACTGGGGATCCCCCCTCACATATTCCCATGCCCCAACCCTGGCAATGAACTGGTAAAAGGATGTCAAATACATACCTTGTATCTTATCGGAAAGTCCCCAAACCACTCCTACTAATAGTCACCACTTGCTTCTCTAGCGAAAGCAATCCATCTGCCTCATTTATCCTTTCTGTGAGCACAAGTGAGAGTTTGACTCTCAGCAGGACTATGTAGGTTGGGAAGGGGCTATGGTTCGCGAACCTAGAGGCATGTAAAGGTTTCCAAGAATAGTGGTGAAAAGTGAATGTCAAAGTCCCATCCCCTGAACCCTTGAAGATCAGAAGTGAATTTAACCTTTGCTTTCTCTATGTCAGTACTTGTATCAGAATCACAGATCAGTTGGCCCCACCCCCAGTGTTTCTGATTCAGGAAGTCTGAGTGTGCCTGAGAATCTGCATTTCTAACATGCACCCAGGTTTTGCTGGTCTAGGGACACGTTGAGAACAGCTTCTCTAAGACATACCTCCTATTTTCAGGGCAGCCAACCTTATGACCCAGGTCAAAGCAGAAGGGACAGCTTCTCTACAGTATGACAGAAAATATGATTTTTTTATTGGTTGGCCCCTTAATATTCTTTACCTACTCTGTCCAATAGTGCAGCACCAATGACATGTGGCTCTTTAAATATATTTGAATCTGTTCAAGACTAAAATTTTGTTGCTCAGATGCATGAACCCCATTGTAAATGCTCAACAGTCATATGTGCCTAACAGCTTCTACTGGGCAGCACAGATGTAGGCCATTTCTGTCATCACAGGAAGCCCTACTTGAAACCCTGATCTTTAAGAATTCCAAAAATTGTTTCTCTGTTTCCCTTCAATGTTTAGCTGTTAACTCCATGGTATTTCTGTGAAAAACAAACACAACAAAACCCTTTTATAAATATCAGCAACAGGATGTAAACTCTTCTCATTGCTGACTAATAGTAACAATCCTCATCCACCTCTTTCCATCTAGTTAGGAGGAGGTCATAGGCATTTTTTTCAAAAGAGATGAGTTTATTAATATTTTTTCAAAATATTGCACCCATTACCTATGTCATGAAAATTACCCTAAAAGCATGTCCAAAAAGTGAAAGCTCATTGGTGTCCGGTCAGCAGGGCAATGATATGGGTAACAAGAATCACGCAACACAGGAGAGAGCATTGGCGTGGCCTGGGGCCATGCAGCAGGCACCACTGCTGGAGGGAGGGAATTGGGCCAAGAGTGGACAACATAGGACTGTCCTGGGTGTTCTGGAACAAGCACATCCCTGCTGCAGGCTGCAGAGCATGGCTGCCTTTTTGTTTCCACCCTAAAGGAGCAATTTGGAGCCACTGACATTCAGAGTTGCTGGAGTGTTCTGCCCTCAGCAGATGCCTTTTCCTAAGCTTAACTGTTTGATCCTTTCTCACAGATTCGGCTGAACAGTAGGGGACTGATTTACTCCGTGGGCTTGCTCCTGGCCTCTGTCTTTGTCACGGTAGGTGTGCAGTCTTCTCCCCACTTGAGTTCCCATGTTCTCCCCCTGTCCTCGGGTTTTGGCTACAGCACTTATTTGGACACGAGATGGGCTTGGCCTCCTAGTGATGGGGACATTTGACCTCCAGATGTCCCATCTCATGGGTGACTTCCTCTAGAAGTAGATTCCAACAACCCTCCTAAACGCCAACTTCCTTAGGAGCCAGTCTCTTGTCAGAAGCATGGCCCTATTTCATGTCAGGCACAAACTATTTAGCAAAAGTAAAGGGAAGAACTCACTTTTTCTGCAAGATTAGTCATAGAGGGTCGATTCTCACTCATTGTCTGTTCCAAGTTATTAAGGATCTCCATAAATCCATGAATTTGGCCAATACTCAGAAACTAAGAATATATCATATTGATGGTGCACTTTTATGCCATTCCTCTATCCTGGTCAATTACATGCATTTGTATAATTTAACATTGCAACTCAACTGATGCATTTGGTGTAAACACATTCTCCCCAGCACTCACACTGGCTCACAAGAAGTGTCCACTAACATAGCCATCTAGCAGAGAGAGAGAAAGCGGACTTGGAGACGTGAGCTGATCACCATAAAGCCCAAGTTGACCCACTTCCATTTATGTGCTTGAATTTAAAGTGAGACCCATCAGCATGGCCAAGCATTTTCCTCCCCCACCTGAATGGAAGCTGTGCGGTATAGATGGAAGCATGGCTAGAGCCAAAGGACTGTGGCTTAGCCAACAAAGACAACAAGCTAGAAAGGGACTGAAGAGTGGAGTTGGACACCCAGGAGTCGTTCTAGTGATTGCTGTAGAATTTAAGTGTGGTAAGGACAGAAAGAGGGTGTGAGGTGGGTGAAGTGCAGTGAAGCAATGATGGCACAAATGAATCTTCATTGTGGTACCACATGAAATAAGCAGGAAAGATAGATTGTGGTCAGAGGATGGGATGCTGGACATGGGGATAAGGGAGTCCATTCTGCTACTGGGAATACCAAAGTTACCAGTAGAACTTATCCAGAGGTCTGCACGTGCTTGTGCAACTGCAGAACTAAGTTTTTGATTTGATTTTTGATTTGATTTGACTTAAGTTTAAATGTGGGCAGCCACGCATGGCTGGCAGATACGGTGCACCCATGGAAGTGAGCAGCTGAGGAGAAGATGCTGTGAAGATGGATTTAGTGATAGTGAGATTGCTAAAGACTGACAGGACAGGGGGGCAGTGAACAGAAACTTGCAGCTCTGAAAGTGACCAGCCTTGAAGAGTGACCAGCTCTTGAAAGTGACCAGCCTCTGAAGAGACCAGCCTTGCAGAACTGATGCAACTAAAAAGAGCTAGAGTAAAGGCTGGAGAAATTTAGATTCCAGGCTTGGTGCTTCATGGAAGCAGAGAAGGAAAACAGTGTGGGCAGAGCAGGGAGGACAACTTGCTGACCTCCAGACACAGGAATGGCAACAGTGCGGCCATGGCCAGGGGTCATGGCGACCCCAGGAACAGCCAGGGTCTGCTTGGGGCAGGATGGTGAAGAGTCAGACCAGTGGTTCACACCCAGAGCAGCGTGGGGCTGGAGTTGTGACTAAGTAGATTGGCCTCATCATTATGCCTTTTAAAATAATCTTTTCTACAACCAGCAGGTCTTGACTTCCTGTCTACTTGATTCTGATGTCCTTACTTCCAAAACATGAGAAATGAGCTCAGCAGGGTCAGAGAGAACCATGGTCCCTGCCTGAGATCCCTCTGGTGGGTGCAGCCTCTGGGCACCTTTTGACCCCCTTCTCTGTGTTGCAGGTGTTTGGCGTTCACCTGAACAAGTGGCAGCTGGACAAGAAGCTGGGGTGCGGGTGTCTTTTCCTGTATGGTGTGTTCCTGTGCTTCTCCATCATGACGGAATTCAACGTGTTCACCTTTGTGAACCTGCCCATGTGCGGCGACCACTGATCCGCCCACAGAGGCTCGGTTCCTTCTTTTCTGTGCAATACAAGACCCGGCCGCACCCCAAGTCACATGGGCCCCCAGGGCCGGGGTGTCCGTCTCTCCCCCTGTTCACAGGCCTCCGCTCCTGCCTCGGTGGCCCAGGCTCTCTCAGCCCCTCCCCACGCTCCCCCCTTCCTGGGGTCCTCCCTGCCACCTACCCCTTCCTACTCCTTCCCTCCTCCTCCATGTGAAGACTTCCGACATTCACGTGAACTTTCAAGCTCCATTTTTGAACAGTGACTGAGATACTAGAAAAACTGGCTGCTAACTGGCCCAAGCCAGGCAAAACTTATTACAATCCCTCCTCCTTTTTTAAGTTATTGGGTGGAAGACTAACCTAATTTATGACCTGAGACTGTCGAAGAAATAGAGAGGAGAGGATCCATTGATTATAGGTAGCGTTTGGGATTTTGTTATGTTTTGAGGTGATTCCTAGGTTACTGGCTTTGGGGGTGTTTCGCTTTAAGGGATGCCCCCTTATATTCTTTTTCTTTCAGAGATGGAGAGCTTCTCTTGCATCTTCTTTCACTGGGCTCTGGACTAATCGATCCACAGGGTGTCCCTGCTGTGTCTTCCGGGATCAGATCCCAGGCACGTTGGCGTCTGCATGGATTTAGTGCTTATTAGCGCAACAGCGGGCGAGGGCACCAGGAACAAATGCATGTCATTTCATGCCCAAGGGTGCCTCCCTACCATCCGATAGGCGTAACCTAGGGGGTGCGAGGGTTTTTAGGGAGAAGACAACTTTCCATGTGTCCATTATGACCATCGCTTTCCCACTAGGTTCTTTCTAGTATTTCAAAGCAATAGTTCCAACCTGCCTGAGGCCTTTCACGAGGGGCCCTGGTTAAACTATCCATCCACAAGGTAACAGGCAGTGAGTGACAGAAGCTTCCCAACCTGTGAGTACTTGAGATGTGCTCTCATTCTTGGGATCGGGGTGACAGGGAGTGACCCAGAGGGAGTGACCCAGAGGCCACCACTGCTTTCCATGCAGGAGTTACAGACACTGGTTTCTTGGAAAATGGAGAGAAGCGCACTTTGCACAGATGTCGTCAATAAAGTCCCAATTTGCCACTCGGTATTGAGTACACTGGACCCTGACAGCTGGCTCTTGGGCCAACGTCCTTCCTGACCGAATGCCACCGCCAAGCTGCCACAGTTGCCCCCTCCCTTCCCGGAGGGATGGCAAGGGAAGGAGAAAACAGAAAACTGACACCTTTGGAACCACAGAATGTGTTCAATGCAGACTCGCTCATGGGCGTAAGTTATTGTGAATGTTGTTGCCAATCACTGCTCAACAACCCTGCTAGATTTTGTATGATGCTGAATTATTATGCAGACTAATTCCACAAGTTGAGACCCACCCATGCTTGTTACACTTGTATTTATTGAAACTGTGGATTCTTGCCCGTGCTGTCCCTTGTATTTACTTTAAGCACTGATCACTTATCATTCATTCGGTATGGTTTTTCTCGTCCCTTGTACACATCCTGGTATGAATTGTAAAAATAACCTGCTACAAATTGGTTGAATATTTCTGTTGATGGTGCAAACCGAGGCCAGCGTCAGCTGATGGGGCACCTGCCCGCTGAAGGAACGGGAAGGGAAATCACCAATTTGGGCTCTCAGAGCTAAGACACACTTATTGATTCTGTTGCACATTTTGCACTGGTTTATGGCAATTGTTTTCTTGGATGGATAGTGTAAAATAAACTTCTCTGTTCTGTATCTTCCTTGAGCGGAGCGCATTCCTTTCTCCCTTGACGTTTTGTGTGTTTCACCTTGAGGAGTAGGCACAGGTGGTGAAAAGACCTCAAGTCACCCCAAGGCCAGGTATTTGCTTCCCACTATTTCTGGGTTGGCTCACCTGGAAAGTTGGCAAACTCCTGGCAGATTGCCAGTATAAAGTGGCAAGTCATGGGTCCCTGCTGACTCTTGAAGGGACTTAGGATCTGTAGGATAAAAGTGATGTTGTATTAGGAATTCTTACCGAATTCAGCTGGACATACGATGGAGGGTAGTCCAGGACTGATATTGATAATAGCAATGCTCAAGTTCACCATCCTGTCTGATTTTACTAGCTTTCAATTGTGAAAAGCAATACTTCTACAAAGCCAGTCCCTTAAAAGAGATAGTAGTGCATAGCTAGAGTAAGTCATATTCTTATCCTGCATGGTTCTCAGAAAATGATTACCTAGATCTAAGAGTGGACCCAGATTACTGAACAAAAACAGGTTTCTACCTGGAACAGTATAAATCATTTCTAAGAATAAGAAGAAAAATAGCTGCCAATTCATTGGTTTACAACATTGTTTATGACTCAAAGGTATAGGGTCACAACATTTCAGATGCATATTACCACACATTACCCACCACCCAAGCACTCACAGTCTTCCAACACAGTCCACCCTGAGCTCTACCCTAGCCCCTATCCATCCTCCTCTGGTAACCTCAATTCTAAAGTCACACTTCTACAGTTTGTCATTGGTTTGGTTCTGTCTGATCCTTTGTTTTGTTTCCCTGTATTCACATGCAAGTGAAACCACGTCTTATTCGGAGTAGATGTTATTGGCCTTCACCACTCTAGTTCCATCCATAGTCTTGTATATGGCTAGAGTAGCTAAGTAGAGTTCCACTGTGTGTATATACCATATCTTCCTAATCTACTCCTCTGTCATTGAGCACTTAGGTTGTTTCCATAACTTGGTTATTGTAAATAGTGCTTCAATGGACATAAGAGTGCATATATCCCTTTGATTTAGTGTTTTTACATTCTTAGGTAGATACCCAGGAGTGGAATTGCTAGCTCTGCTGCCCACTTTTAAATTGGGTTCTTAGTTTTCTTTTTGTTGAGTTGTGTGAGTTCTTTGTAGATCTTGGATATGAGCCCCTTGTCAGATGTATGATGTGCAACTATTTTCTCCTATTCAGTAGGGTGTCTTTTAATTGTAACAGTATTTATTTCACTGTGCAGAAGTTTTATCATTTGATGTAATCCCATATGTTTATAGTCTCTTATGTTTTTCTTGCCATTGGAGAGAAATCCACAGAAACATCACTGAAATCATTGTCATGAAGAATTTTGTTTCTAGTCTTACATCCCACTCTTTAATCCATTTAAAATTAACTTTTGTATATGGTGTGAGACAGTGTTTGGTTTCATTTTTCTGCATGTGGCTTCCCAGTTTTCCAAACACCGTTTGTTTAAGAGATTTTCTTTTCTCCAATGTCTGTTCTTGGCTCCTTTGTCATAGATTAATTGTCTATGTAAGTATGACTCTCTTTCTGGACTCTCTATTCTATTCCTTTGGTCTCTGCATCTACTTTTATTTTAGTATCATACTGTTTTGGTAATCATAACTTTATAGTATAGGTTGAAGTTTGGGTATATGACACCATGGAACTTTTTGTCAGGATTGCTTTGGCCATTTGGAATCTTTATGGTTCTATATGAATTTCAGTAGTGCTCTATTTGAGGAAAGTCATTAGAACTTTGATAGGGATTGCATTGAGTCTGTATATTCCTTTGGGTAAAATGGACATTTTATTGCTATTAATTATTAAGGGAAGAACAGAACGTTTTTCAATATCTCAAACCTAACAGTATCGCAGCAATTTTCTTGGATGTGCCGGTTTTGGGAAATCCCTCATGCTGTGACCACATGCACTAAAGGGACATCTTTGTGGCTCTGAACAAGGGAAGACGTGCTAGAGTCTGTGCTTCCTCCTGAGTGCATCTTCGTTGACTCCACAGGAAGGTACCACCAAAAAGTCCTCCATTTCTTGAAATTATGTTCCTAATTTGGCCCAGGCCTGAGCATGTTGGTGCTCAGTGCCAAATACATGCTCTTCAGTTGACTTCTCAGATTCAGTGAGAGGTGATGACAAGGGGGAATTTTCTAGGTGAATTCAGCCCCTTTCCAAGGGTAAGTGCTATCCCTACCATTATAGGGACAGTGCACATTTCCAGGAACATGTTGTGTAGTTGTCTCCAATTTGAGATTCTATGTATCTCAAGCAGCAAATTTGAACTCATCCTAAGCATGCAGGCTTCAAAGAAAAGCCTAAATGTTAATTTTTAAAAGGTGGAGGGTGGGGAGAGGATGATGATATTGTGAAGTCCAGAGAGTTTTCAATTATGGTATAAAAATAGGAATAACATCCAACTTGCAGTAGGGTAATTAAATGAAGCCTTAAAACTTTATCTTTCTCTAACTTCATCTAATATGAAAATATTGCAGTTGCTGAGAAAAAAACAAAGTGGAAAGTCTGTGATAGTGTTGTTGCCCTTTCCAAGATTAATTTATTTTTCATTAATAATGGTTTCATTAATAAATAATTACCCAATTATTCCGACCCATTGTAATTAACCATTTTGAAGTAAATGGGACATATTTCTATGTTGGATTTTGTGTAATCCCATGCTAACTAGTGAGTCGTGTTTATTTTGATATGTCCTACAATGCCTGCTCAACACACATCCACATACACACACAAACACCGTCTATCTGACACCAAAAACTATGCATAAAAACAATCCAGTGGATCGTTGCAATTTTTCCAAATATATCCAGCTTTCTGTTATCACACAACTGCAGGACTGGGGGAAATTCGGCCAACTTTTCTAAAATAAAAAAGTCACGTGTCCATTGCATCATCACCCAGAGATGTGGGACACTGCAGAGATGCTGAAAGAGTCAGGAACTGAGGCCATGGGCAAGCAGAGAAGAGTTAACAGTCTGCACGTGTGGAGGATAAATTATGCCATGTTCCAGAATTGATTTCACATTGAACTTCTATGCTTAGTTCCAAAACACAGAGCAGAGAAACAAAACTTCAAAATCTTTCAGATGGCTTACTGTTGCACTGAGGGCATTTCTTTCCTTAATAAAATATTCCCAGTGGTCATATTAAGTTTTTACTGAACTTCAATTTAGAAAACATTCTTGTCAAGTTGCAGAGATTTCAAAAATAGTGAACAGTCATAGTTAATACTCATTTTGGTTTTGGTCTCTGTTTTTTCAACAGGTGGGAGGGAAGGGAAGATTTAACATTACAGTTTTGGCATTTATGTGATTTAAGGGTATTGTCCTACTTGAATTTACATAAATGTATGCACAAATACATAAATTATACTTTTCTTTACATAACTTCCAACTTAGCCTGTTTATAAAAACTGAATTTGATAATGTCATATCATCTGACTTATTGGAACCATTAGCCAATAATTGACTCCAGAAAACTGCAGGCAATACTTGGAATGAAATGTAATAAGGAATTTCAGAGTCCTTGTAGTTTTGGAGACTTCTGAGTCATGCCTACAGGTCACTGCTAAAAAGATACACTTATATGCCAACATGCTTTCAGCATAAAATTAATATTTTTAAATTATTGCATAAAAAAAACTTCTCTTCATATATTTATACATATATATGTGGTATGCAAAATATGTATGTGTCTGTGTATGTGTGTGTAAAACTTCATATATTTTATCTCTGTGATTTAAGAAAGGGTGATTCTTTTTCCAAATGTTAGGTACTTTTTTTTTTAAAGATTTATTTATTTAGCATACAAGAACTGGGGTACCGGCAAGAGGTGTGGGGCTGAGAGGATTCACCAGAAACAGAGTGGGGAACAGAACAGGCAGATGGACTGAAATACACAGCTGAGGGGAGCAGCGGGCGAGTCAGGAGAGGTCTGCTGCACAATGTGGGTGACTCCTGGTGGGGGATAGAACTCGTACTGCAAAGGCTAAGGATAGCTTCACAGTGCTGTGCTTAACCCCTTGCGCCACCAGTTAGGTACTAACTGGTGCTCTATTCAGTTGTCATTACTCCAACAACCAAGAGATTTGAACCACCATGACCACTGCTTTATTGTTAAGACAATTTATTTTGCCTATTGGTTACAAGTTTCTGAAATATCAACTCTAGAATATCTAAAAATGTGTCATATCAGGTTGAATTTTTTCCTCCAATTGCTTAAAAGTTAAACATTATATTCAACTTCCCGTATGAATAATACATTTATCAGCATTTACTCGTTTTGTTGTTTAAATAGTGTTTCCAAAATTTAAGTACACATTGAAATTGGAGACTTATTAAAATACAGATTATTGCGCCCCAGCCCAGGATTTCTGGAGCAGTAAGCCTAAGGACAGGCCCAAGAAGTTGTATTTCTCACCAAATCCCAGATGCTACCACTCTTTGAAAACCACTAGTATAATAATGCTTTTTGTCCATAAAATCAAATTTTTTCTACACTACTTTCACAAGTGTCTTTGGTTTACAGCTTATAGGAAACACAAAAAAGCACACACAATTTCTTTTGTTCTTTAAAAAAAATGTATTTTTCTTTTTACTTCCACTGAGATCTATGAATGGCTGAAAGTAGAAAAAGAAATAATCTACATAATCTACATTTTCTAACATCCTGCATTATGTCTGCTCCCAGCCAAAAACAACTTTTAAATTAAAACCAAACCATATCAAAGTAAATGACTTAAGATGAAGATGCAGGAAAGCCAAGATTCTGGGTGGAGTATTAGCTCAGTAGAGATGGGAATAGGCAACCACTAAATTCATTCAAATGAAAAAGATTTAGTTATAAACTACAAGAGAAACTAACAGTAAATATAGGAGAAATTTTCTGTGCATGAACTCATACTTGCACATTGCAACCAAGCATAGCTAACTCTTGAATCTAAAAATGTTGTTTTGATGAAA